TATTCTGGGCTTGAACCAATGGGTCTGTTGTGGAGCCTCAGACCAGTTCCAGGCAGCAAACCAGGTCTTAGGTAAGTCATAACTATACGGAACATAATGATTTGTAGCCTGACAGCTGACATTCGGAATCATCTTTAAGGATGAGAAAAACGAATATTCAGGTTCCAACAGTGGTGACAATCTCAGTGTACCAGGGTCACCACAACATGGGATTCACGGACCGGGTGTTACTGGCCAGCGTGGTGGTCGAGCGCTGGTACATGGCACCTGGTGTCCGCAGGATTCCGATCACAGAGGGTGGACTTACAGCAACCCTTTTTCTTCCACCAGGTAGGACTGAAGTAGAGTGTATCCTGTGATACATTGCAATATTGCTACATTAGTAGAACATGTATAATATTTAGCTACATTTTATTGGTCACAGTTGCGAGGTTGAGCCTTGGGCGGAAGTCACTCTCTGACAAAATAAAAGTAGAGATGCTGGATCGTGGATCTATAGAGAATAGAGAATATAGCTGAAGCTTTATCCAGTATCTCTGTAACAAGTGACGAGCTCAGTCTAGCCTAATGTAGTGAGTAGTGGAGTAAGAGTACTTTTTCCTTCATAAATCTACTCCAGTAAACGTAAAAAGTATAGTGATTTAGAACTACTGTATTTTTCGGACCATAAGGCGCCCCGTTTATAAGGCACGTCATTATCCGAGTCAGTCTCGTTGCTGTTAATTAGTTGTTCAGTGATGATTCCGGCCTTTCGTGAAAGCTCGGACGACATTTCAGACTGATACCTTAGCCCAGGCATCCACGATCTATTGGCAGATAGTGGCGTAACTCGCCCGGCGTTGCCGTCTTGTCTTGGTGAATGTGTGTTAGCCTTCCAGTGCTCCCACGCAACTCGCAATTGAACTTTAAACGCCACGTTAACACCAATATTTAGCGGTTGTAATTCTGTGGTTAATCCACCCGGAATGATAGCTAGCCCCGAATTAGTTTGGTTTTGACAATATCGGTGAGATGGGTGCGCATGGATTAATAGGGACGGAGGTTTGTGGACACTGGAGGACGCTGTTGTTGATGTTCGCCCCTCCAGAGTAGCTATGGGAAGACCGACGCTTTTTACTGATTCGGATCTTTACAATGGTCCTATCCTTTGGAATTATTAGCACACTATAACTATTTGAAATATTTGGAGTCCGTTGGAGTCCAACAGAGAATGGTTGACAAATGAATTTGTTGTTGACTTTGAAGGTTCTGGACAGTTCCCTGGCATCTTGGACTTGTGGGGGGGTGGAGGAAAGTTGGTAGAATATCGTGCCGCCCTTTTTGCCTCCCATGGTTTTGCCTCATTGGCCCTTGACTACCTGACGTGTAAAGTCACAACGGATACTGGGCTTGTCGATGATGAGTATTTTGAGGTACAATTTGAGGTTGACAAGTTGGAGTTGGAGAAGTAACAAATATACAGTAACTTACTTACAAACTTTGTAATGTACAATATTATGTGTAAAATCATTTTAATACAGTATATGTATATATATATAAATGTATATATACCTATAGAAATTATTGTCATCACCTTCAAGGGAATAGAAAAGATAACACTAACCCAACTGTGCTGGGACGGATTCAAAAGCTGAATGGGCTGCAACCGGACCCCGGGCCTTAGTTTGCCCATGTCTGGTGTCTTACTTAGTGTTGGTGCTAATACAAGTTAATGATTGTGAATTGGGAAGTGACATTGAGATAAACACACCGGTGATTGGCTGTTTACTCAACTGGCATCAATCATGTTTACTGTGAATGCAGTAAAAGGAAGTTTATTAATGTAGAATGGGAAAATAATTAGTGACTTCATTTTCTTATGCCTTAT